ATCACAATTACAACTTGATCTAAATCAAACCAATAAAGATAAAGAGAAACTTTCTAAGCATATTTACCAGCTTATAGCTGAGGTTAAGCGATTGAGCTCAGAGTTAGATACTTTAACATCTCAAATTAATCAATTACGGATTTCCAATAGTGAATATGGAGCCAAGAATATCATTCGATTGAAAAAAATAAAATCACTCCAGTCAATGAACAAAATATTCAATAGTAAGTTAGCGTCAGCTCAGAAGGATGCATTCTCAACTCAGAAAGAGATAGTAAAAAAAGAATCTGAGATCATATCTCTCAAGTCTGAATTAACGAATATAAAGAATGAACTAATGAATACAAAAGATGAATTAGCTTCAAAAATTAAAAAAATTGAGTATTTAGACGCTTTACGCTCTGTTTCACAGAAAACAAAGGATATATTAGATCCTGTAGAGTCGAAGACTCATTGCTCTGCAATAGTTATGGGAGGTGAGGAAAAAAATATGCAAAGCGAGGAACAAAGTTTCATATCGAATTCTAGAGATACATCTGAATCTAGACCCGAAGGATCATTGCTTTGCAGGCCCTTTAAGGGCGACTCTTCGAGTCATAAAAGTCTTGCAAAATATTTTAAAAGTAAAACATTACCAATTACCACAAATAATCAGAATTCGGAGTCATTGATTCAAGATATTACAAATAAGCAGAATCCGGAGTCATTGATTCAAGATATTACAATAAAAGAGACAGTATGCACTGGCGAGGCTTTAGTTAATGATAAGTATCAGATTCCTCCTTTTATTAAAATTGTCATTATTGCAATAATAGTGATATTAATTATTTGGTATATATATAGGAATATTTTTCATCCACTCCCGCCTTCTCGTTCTTTGAACTCGAAGCCAGATTATAGCCACCGTATGACCGCCTCCGACAATTTGTTTTCTGGAATATATAAACCGACCATGAACAAACAAAGTGAAGTGAATTATCGGGGGAAGAAATTTTTTATCCAATCTATAGAAATCATAGATATGGATTCCCAATCCGTCATACAAAAAAACCGAAAGAAAGAACTATTGCAAAGCAATGGCTCATCGAGCCTACCACCTATGAAACTTTACCTTATGGATATGGATGAGGCTACAAAGCATGAATCATGTCGAAATGTTGGACATCCAGCAATAACATGGCCTTTTAGTAAGGTATTTACTGGTAGGAGTGGTACAGGTAAGACTAATATACTCGGAAATCTTTTTATTGGTGACAAGGGTGAATGTATATTGTCGTGCCGACTACTGCGGGAGAGCAGAAAGTAATCGACACTTGGGATTTAACTAGTCTCGACGGAGCGTGG